AAAAGGCGGCAATGGTGTTTAAAAAAAAACAGTTTCACTTACCTCATGCGTGGAGCAACAAAGAAGTAGTGAGAGGGAGAGACAAGTGCAAAGAGTAGCAAATGCGTGTATTTGTTGTTATTTAAATGCAATTTTTGGCAAAATAAGTAGTAGATTTAATGAGACAGAACGTCGACAGAGTCATAGTGTGGAGCATCGGTAAACGGGCATGTGTGTGTGAAAAGAAATTAAAAATTGGCGCGAATGATGATGTGTGAAATAGTGTTTGTGCGCCTACAAAGAAACCTTTGCAAATTTAATGGGAAGTAGTTTTAGCATTAAAAAAAGCATTAACTTTTTAGAATTTAAAGAAAAAGGAATTTGTGAATGGTGAGTTTATTGATATTTATTCCCTATATTAACAATTTATGTAGTTACCCTTTTTGGTCAGTTATTTTAATAATTAAAAAGCTCTAATGCTATAAATTGGGAAATCTATTTGAAATAGGTAAAAATGGTTTTGCTTGAAAAAAATTAATAATGTCCTTTTTAAATGAAGCGACGATAAGTGTCAGTAAACATTTCCAAGAAAATATGCATTTTAAATAGTCTATCTTCAAATTCAATCTAAGAGTACTTTCTGGGAGAGTATCAAAAAGAGAAAGCCAATCTTCGACGATGTACGACCAACAATTAAGACTATATGAGTATCGAAGTGAAAAAGGAAATTCCTACAAGATTATGTGATTATTTTTTAAAGACTATCAGTAAACGTAGATTTTTTCAAGAACTATCCGTAAACGTGGATTTTTTAAAAATATTTTTTCAAGGACCAAACATGGATTTTTTAAAAATATATTTTCAAGGACCAAACATGGATTTTTTAAAAACATTTTTTCAAGGACCAAACATGGATTTCATAAAAATATTTTTTCAAGGACCAAACATGGATTTTTTAAAAATATTTTTTCAAGGACCAAACATAGATTTTATAAAAATATTTTTTCAAGGACCAAACATGGATTTTTTAAAAATATTTTTTCAAGGACCAAATGTGGATTTTTTAAAAATATTTTTTAGGGTCTATTCTCAAATGTAGGGTTTTAAAAATATTTTTCAGGGTCTATTCACAAACGTGGGGTTTTAAAAATATTTTTCAGGGTCTATTCACAAACGTGGGGTTTTAAAAATACTTTTTTTTTTGTTTTTTTTATGTTTTTCAAAAACAAAAATCGAATTTTTTCAAAATATGTATTTTTCCGGACCAAATCTGGATCTATTAAAAACTTTTTCAAAAACAAACCTGGGTTTTTAAATTTTTTTCAAGGACCAAATCTGGATTTTTTAAAAATATTTTTTTATTCAAAAACAAAACACGGATTTTTTAAATTTTCTTTTTCAATGACTAAATCTGGATTACTTAAAAATATTTCTTCGAGGACAAAACAAGAATTTTTTAGAAATATTTTTTTAAGGACAAATTGTGGACCAAACTTGGATTTAAAAAAAAAAAATATTTTTTCAGAACCATACATGGATTTTGGAAAAATATTGTTTTCAATGAGAAAACGTGGATTTTGTGAAAATATTTTTCCAGGGAGAAGACGTGGATTTTTCAAAAATATTCCTTCCAAGGACCAAAACTGGACTTTTTAAAAATATATTGTCCAAAGACCAAATTTGGATTAAAAAAAAAATATTTTGTTAAGGACCAATGGACTGGGTTTTTAAAATAATTTTTAAAGTACAAAACGTGGATTTTCTAAAATATTTTTTCAAGGAATGTAATTACTTTATCAATGACTATCCGTAAAAGATTTTTTTTAAATTTTTTTTTTCAAGGACTATCCATAAAGTGGATTTTTAAATATTTTTTTCAGGTACTATCTTTAGGACAAAACGTAGATTTTGTAAAAATATTTTTTTTTTTCAAGTAAAAATTTTTTTTCGAGTAAAAAAAATAAAGACTAAAATTGTATTAAAATATTTTTTCAAGTAAAATGTTTTAAAATATTTTTTAGGTAATTTTTTTAAAATATTTTTTCAATGACTAGCAAAATTTTTTAAAATATTTTTTCAATGCCTGTCGGTATAATGTTTTAAAATATTTTTTCAAGAACCAAACGTTGATATTTTAAAAATATTTTTTCAATGATTATCAGCAAAATTTTTTAAAATATTTTTTCAAACAAAAACTAAAGGGACTTCTTTCAAATAACTTTTTAAGAACCATCAATGGCCACCAAAGCAAACAACTTTTAAAAATTGCTATAAATAGAATATATAGTGCTAAAAGTGTGTATTTAAGTATCTTGAAAAGTTTATTTTATCAAAAAAGGGAGATTTTAATAATATTTTTTCATGGACCGACCACCAGAGATTAGAAACTTGAAATTATTACACGGACATCCAGAGTCAATATTAAAGATTTATTTAATATTATGAATATTGTTTTTTAAGGACGAATCATGTCGATTAAGCACATCTGAGTTAAATTTCATCAACCTACTTCATTTCGTTCGAAAGCTGAAGTGATTTGCACCGACGGACGGACATCGCTAAATCGACATAGAATTGAATGCTAATGAATAATACATATAGTACTTGGGGGGTCTAACATACCCTCCATGCTATGGTGGATGGTATAATAATAAAAATTTCAAAAACTCAATCGCATTCACACTCGCTTCGTCATATACAAATAGGTACTTAATTGCGAAATTCTTCTCTGATATAGTTTGTATTTATTTATAAGATATACAACTTTCATATTTAAATTACTGATTTAAAGTAAAAATACGTTTCACATTTATTTAAATATGTATTTTTTTAATTTTTTGACGATTTTTTAAAATAAATTTGATTTTTTTCATCTTTATTCTATTTAAAGTCATTTTCATGATTTTTTATTAAAATCACCTGGCAGCCCTTCTGGAGAGCGGTCTTTGCCCTAGCAGTCATTTTCTCCTTATTTCTCACTATTTTTCTCCACCTTACATGCAATTCCACCCACTTTATATTTGCATAGAGCGGAGAGTGTGAGAAGTGGATCATCAATGCTCTCCAACTCTATCTTACAACATTAGAGAGAGAGAGAGTGAGCGAGAAATAAAATACTGTGCAATTCTAAAGCAGGAGAGTGGGAGCACTGAACATACACACACATATGCATTCATTGAACAGTCAATTTTTTGATTTCGCCTTCCTTCAGAATCTCCTTTTTTGGAGTTTGGAGTCAGTTATTGTTAGACCTTAAATTCGTTCGCATATTTTCGTTAAAGGCTCCACGGTTTGGTTAAATAAATTGACAAAAATAATGAAATAGACAATTTAATGACTTATAATCGGTGTATTTGTTAATTCTAAGTTGAAATAATGTAAAAACTTGTGTTGGGATTGCTAGACAAGAAAAAGAAATTATTTTTTTGTATTCGAAAGCCAAAAATTGTTTGACAAATCATTCGGTGTGTCGTCCGTTTTCTTATTATAAAATCGGTTTCGGGAAGCGTGTGAATTTCGTAATAAAAATGAAAAATGAATTAAGTTATGGCATTTGTATTTGTTTAAGTTAAACACAAACCTAGGTGGAATAGTGCAATTAATGAATAAAAGAAAAAGAGTCTCCCCTTCACCCCCTTCATTTGCAGTGTGTCTAGAGCTCATTGATGTGCTTTAAGAATTAACTTCTGATAGATGAAGTCGTGAGCTTTGAATATGGTCAAATCATTTACTACTACACTCTCCTCGTTTTGACTGTTCTGATTTCGAGAGGGGAAAAGGGGAAGAGTGTACAGTTGAGAATAGCAATGGGATTAATGGAAAGGTTGGCATTTGTGCGCCAAAAGTTATTGACAAAAATTGTGAAAGAGGAAAGCTAGACTAGTTTGAAGAGTGGAGTAGAGAACAGCATATGTATGTGAGTGTGAATGTAAAGCAAGGAAAATGGTGCCCCCTTCCACCCTCTTTCCATATACTCTTTTGATGCAAAAAAGGCGGCAATGGTGTTTAAGGAAACAGTTTCACTTATCTCCTGAGGGGAGCAGCAATTTGTTTGGAGAGGGAGAGACAAGTGTAAAGAGTAGCAAATGCGTGTATTTGTTGTTATTGAAATGCAATTTTTGGCAAATTAAGTAGTAGATTTGATGAGACAGAACATCGACAGAGCCATCGTGTGGAGCATCGGTAAACGGGCGTGTGTGCGTGTGAAAAAAAATCTAAGAAATACGGAGTGTGTTCGTTGTGAGTAGGGAATTAATCGGTATTTATAAAAAATCATAGTTGTTTAGTATTTGTAAAAGAGACAAAAATAGAAACGAATAAAAATTCCCAACAAACCAAAACGCTTTAAAATAAGTTTGTAACAAACTTACTATCATAAGATTTAAGCTTAGAAAACTGTTATGATTACTGTTATGAAAGGCAATTTAATAATTATAGAATAATGAAAATTGAACCCTTGTGATAATATTACTAGTCAATAGTATGAAACAAGCTAGTAACTTTAATCTTAGAATAAGCTTGTTATTACTATTATGAAAGGCTTGTAAACAATTGCTGAATAAATCAAATTGAACCCTTGCTTTAATATTGCTGGTTTATAGTTTGCAACAAGCATAGAAGTCTAATTATTAACTATGCTTGAAGAAAAATAGTTTTCTTATCATATATAAATTAAACTTATCTTCGTAATAGTTTTATAAACCTTTTAATTTTATTATTTTTTATAGTTTAATTTTTATTTTGTACATTTTTATCAGGTGTATTATTAATATAAGGTATATTACTAACATAAGAAAAAAATTAATTTTTGTTTTTTGTCTTTGGAGTATATTTTTGTTTTGATTCTTGCCTATTTTTCGCGAACTGGAAAAAAGATTTTGTGCTTTTTATATATTCATCCTCGCTCAATCCAATAGAAATTGCTGCATCTATAATATTTGAAAAGAATTAGAAAAGCAAGTAAATATGTAAATTAAGAACACGTGTAAATTACTTACTTCTTATTGCTTTTGCTGAACTATGGCTGCGTACACTTTTTTTCTCCTCTGTCCCCTTCCAACACATCTTTTGCGCCAGTTCGTCTACTAGTAGCTTTCGCCAACAGTTTTTTGTAAAATTTGGAGTTTTGGCAACCGTTAACAGCTCCTTTCCCTTAGAAGAAGTTTATTATATTATTAGGTTACGGTTAATTTTCCTTTGCTACTTACAAACATATTCAAAAACTTTTTGTCTTCCTGCAATTTTTTTTCGAAATCCATAAACTCGTCTATATTTTTAAAAGGGCTTTCAGGCATCAACAACTCAACAAGCGATTTCTCCTTCTTCAATTCCTTAACTTCATTACGCAGGACATTTATTTCATGACGTAATGAAGTGACTTCATTAGTAAGCCTAATAAACATGGGTTCAATTGCTTTTGAAAAATGTGCCACCATCCCTGAAAAGAATTAGAAAAAATATCGGCAATTGGTGTCCATTATACCATCGAAATATTTCACCGAATATTTACCTTCTAGTGTCACAGGTTGTAGGGGGCCCATATTATTTAATACTGGTTGTAAGGAAGTAAGATTATGCGAGTTGTTGAATATGTTGTTGAAATTTATGTTACTGTCCTCAGTCATAGTGTATAACTGGAAAAAAGCCAAATTCATCATTTTTGTTTCTTAAAGCACAGATTTTAGTAATGTCTTTCAAGCTATGTTGGTAGGATTCTTGTGAAACTGTTAACTTAGTTGTTTGCCAAATATCAAGAAGAGACGATTCCAGTGGATTATGGAACATTGAACTCAAATTCAAAACTTTCTGTCCAATGACTTTACTATCTTGATTGCTTATTGATGACACGCGATATAGATTATTTTGAGCTTTATAATAATTATTAGGGTGGACTACTGAAAAAAATGCACATATTTTGGGTTGTGTATTATCCCTATGTGAGATGTTGATACTTTGCTCCACTAGTCGATTATATAGTTGAGCCGATATATTATTTTTTTTCTTTAAAAGCCTTTTCAACATTCCCAGCTTATTTTCAAATTTAAATGCACTAAAAGTTTCACATGATCCATATTGCAAACAATCGCTGGCTAGGTGAGTGAGACAATGAAAATTGTACGTTGAAATACTTTCGTCATAAAATTTAGGCAAATACTTCAAAAAATTCTTTAATAATGCGTCAGCGCACTTATTCTTTGATCTACATTGTTCAGGGCTTAACAAAATTCTAATAGCTAAACTCAATTGCAGAAAATGAAAATACCGCTCGTCATCCAAAATTCCTTTTAAGATAAACGGACCAACATACAAAAGAAATGTTCGCAATTCAGTTGCTTTATACCGATCAAACTCATTGAGATCTCTTGTACTTCTTCTAAACTCACGAGGAAGTTGTCCTTTTAAACACAAGAGAAGATTGTTTAATATTGTAATTTTGTCCCTTGAAAGGGATGATGTTGTATTTCTCTTTTTTATCCATGAAGTCATTAAAGTTTTGACAACACCCAGGCAAACCACATGCATATAATCCATGGGAAACGATGTTATTAGGTCTATTGGCAAGTCTTCTATGGCCATGTGATTATGTATTTTGTGATGATTTTTATCTAAGCGTTTTCTAAAATTTTCATCAGTGCGTATTGTGTTCTCTTCATATTTGAACACCATGCGGTTGTTTATATGATCACCCTTCTGGTTGCATTTGTGGCAACAACTGTATCCAGTATGAGTTTTTATTCCCAGAACTAGTGACCTTGCCGGCGCATCACATATGAAAGCTCTACAGTTAACTTTATATGTCTTATTATCAAACGAAAAATTGTCCTTCATAAGCTCGGTTAATTCTTTGATAAAGGGACCTAAAAACTCATTAACATCTATTGGCTTACTGTTTCCACTATAAATACCAACTGTATGCACAAAATCAGTGTCATTGACATTAATAAGAACGGGCCAGGCTTGTGCTAATGAACTTTTTGCTACCGGTAATCCATCTATGTTAATATTTAAATCAATAGAAGTCTTTAGATATTTTTTCGTGCATGACAAGAAATCGGTTAGACAATCTTTCAATCCGTAATGTACATAGTTTCCTCCTTGTATTGCAACTATCGGTGCATCGCGCGGTGTTTGTTTTAATGTCCTAGCATCTTTTGGTAAAAAAGGAAAGAATTTTCTTAAAATATTCAGCAAATCATTTGTAGCACTAGTTGTTATTGTGTGTTTGATAGCCCAAGCTGCAATTTCACTCTTTATATCAGCTGAATCTATAAATTCGGCATTGTCGTCCGAACTGGAAAACTCTATTTTATTTAAATTGTCATCACTCGAATAAGAACCACTTTCACTGGCGCCGACTACATCTTCGTTGGAATCGTCTTCTTTACGTTTTTTAGCATTTAACAACAATTCAACAATTTCTTTTGATTCTTTACGAACACTATGTTTTAATTTGTACGGCATATTTAAAATATGACTTAATACGTACCTGTGTCAATTATATAATATAATAATTATTCAATTAAGTTGACTTTTATTTTTACGTTCACTTTTTATTGGGCACTTTTTAATCTTCACTCTTCAAATAAAACTCGGAGAATGAAGTAAATCAGAATATTGCAAAACACTCCTGTTAAAATAACGGGATACAATTTACAAAACATTTGTAAAACTGTTGCAAGCATAAGTCGTTTGCAAACACATTTGCGAAATTGTTGTTCGCACGAAATGTATAACAAATGTTATTGCAAACAGTTACAATGCTACGCGTTTTTAAAACCCTGCTTGGCAAAGACATTTGTAAAATTATAGCGAGCATAAGTCTTTTCCAATCACATTTGCAAAATTAATATTCTGACAAAGTGTATTGCAAGTGTTATTGCAAATATTGTTGCAATGCTAACCGTTTTTGAAGCTCAGTTTGAAAATGTTATTTCGAAAATTCTTATATAAATCTTGCGAACATAAGTCATTTGTAATCGCATTTGCAAATATATTATTCTAGCAAATGTTTTGCAAGTGTTATTGCAAATACAATTACTATTTTAACCGTTTTTAACACACGGTTATAAAAGTATTCATATTTTCTACTTTAACAAACCAATCATAAGTATGCTTATAACAGGTTGTAGAAAATGGCTTATTGTAAGTTTATTTTTGTATTCATTTAAGATGGGTTAATGAAATGGTTTATTGGGTTGGCGCGAATGATGATTTGTGAAATAGTGTTTGTGCGCCTACTAAAAAATCTTTGCAAATTTAATAGGAAGTAGGTCTAGGTAGAAAAGAATTATATTTTTCGAATTTAAAGAAAAGAAAATTTTAAAAGGTGAGTTTATTGATATTTATTTCCTAAATTAACGATTTATGTGGTTACTCATTTTGGTCAGTACTTTCATAATTTACAAGCTTTTATGCTATATATTGGGAAATATATTTCAATTATGCAAATGTTTTTATTGGAAAAATTAAAAAAAAATATAATGCACTTTTGAATTGAATCGACGTTTAAATGTCATGAAGCATTTCCGTGATAAAACTGACTAATAAATGTATTTTAAGTGGTCAATCTTCCAAATTACTTTCTGGGAGAGTATCAAAAAGAGAAACACAATCTAGACAATTTTCGAAGATGTAAGACCAAACATGGCAATATGTGTATCGATATGAAGTTCTAGTGTCGCTGATAATAAATTATTTTTTTTAAATGTGATTTAAGACACCTTCGTACCAATCATTTTTTATAAATATTTCTACCAAAACTATTCACAACCGTTGGTTTTTTGAGAAAAATTTTTTTAAAGACAATTTACAAACGTGGATTTAAAAAAAAAAAAAATATTTTTCCAAAGGATCAACTTTGGAGTTTTTAAATATATTTTTCCAAGGAACAAACGTGGATTTTTTTTAATATTTTTCCAAAGGATCTACTTTTTAGTTTTTAAATATATTTTTTCCAAGGAACATACGCGGTTTTTTTTTAAATTATTTTTTTCCAAGGATAAACTTTTTAAATATATTATTCCAATGACCAAACCTGGATTTTTTACAAATATTTTTGATGATGACTATCCGCAGAAGTATTTTTTTAATATATTATTTCAAGGACTATTCACTAACGGGAATTTTTAAAATATTTTTCAATGACTATCCAGGTACATTTTTTTGAGTATTTTTTTTCAAAAACTATCCGGGAACTTGAATGTTTTAAAAATATTTTTTTTTTCGAGAACACAACGTTGTTAAAAAAAAAATCAAGGATCAATTTGTTTCCAAGGACCAACATTTTTCAAATTTTTTTTTCCAAGGACGAAATTTGGATTAAGAAATATTTTTTCAGAGCAAAATGTGGATATTTTTTCAAGGACAAAATTGGAATTTTTTTGAAATATTTTTTTCAAGGATGAAACTTTTTTTAACAAACTTTTTTCCAAGGACAAACGTGAATTTTTTAAATATATTTTTTGAAGTACAATCTACACACGTGGATTTTTTAAATATATTTTTTGAAATACAATATACAAACGTGGATTTTTTAAATATATTTCTTAAAACACAATTTAAAAGCGTCGATTTTTTAAATATATTTCTTAAAACACAATTTAAAAGCGTGGATTTTTTAAATACAATTTTTCAAGGAAAATCCATAAACGTGGATTTTTCAAAAATTTTTTTTTCAAGGACTTTCCATTAATCTTTGTTTTAAATGTTTTTTTCAAGGACTATTCATAATATTTGTTTTAAATATTTTTTTCAAGGACTATCCATAAATCGGACTATTTTAAATAATTTTCTCGTGGATTTTTTTAATTATTTTGCCAAGAACTAAATGTGGAGTTCTTTAAAAATATTGTATTCAAGGACCAAACGCGGATTTTTAAAAAATATTTTTTAAGGACAAAAGGGGGATTTTGAGAATTATTTTTGTAAGGAAAAAATGGGTGTTTTTTATTTCTCTCTTAATTCTGTCCAAACCTACATTTTTTTAAATTTTTGCCAATCTACAAACGTGGATTTTTTAAATATATTTTTTGAAGTACAATCTACAAACGCAGATTTTTCAAAAATATATTTCTTCAAGGACAATCCATAAAAGTGGATTTTTTAAAAATATTTTTTTCAAGGCTATCCGTAAACTTGGATTTTTTAAAAATATTTTTTTTCAAGGCTATTCGTAAACTTGGATTTTTTAAAAATATTTTTTTTATTCAAGGACTATCCATTATTTTTTTTAAATATCTTTTTCAAGGACTATCCATAAATCAGACTAATTAAAATAATTTTCTCGTGGATTTTTTTTTAATTATTTTGCCAAGAACTAGACGTGGAGTTTTTTAAAAATATTTTATTCAAGGACCAAATGCGGACTTTTAAGAAAAATATTTTTTTCCCAGGACCTAACGTGGATTTTTAAAAAATATTTTTTAAGGACAAAAGGTGGATTTTGAGAATTATTTTTGTAAGGAAAAAAGGGGTGTTTTTATTTCTCTCTTAATTCTGTCCAAACCTACATTTTTGTTTTTAAATTTTTGCAAGGACAAAATGTGGAGTTTTTAAAAATATTTTTTGCTAAGGAACAAAACATGGATTTTTTACAAATGTTTTTCAAAGACTATCCCTAAACTTAAATTTTTAAAGTATTTTTTTAAGGGACGTTTGTAAATCGTGAATTTTTTCTGAATAATTCTTTCAAGGACCAAACCTAGAATTTTTAAAATATTTTTTCAAGAACAAAACTTGCATTTTTTTAATATTTTTTCAAGGACTATCTGTAAATTTGGAATTTTTAAATTATTTTTTAAGGACTATCCGTAAACGAGGATTTTTTAAAAATATTTTTTCAAGGACAAAACTTTGATTTTTAAAAAATATTTTTTCGGGGACAAAACGTGGATTAAAAAAAATATTTTTTCAAGGACTATCCGTAAACGTGGGATTTTTAATAGCATTTTTTCATGAATTATACGTAAATTTGAAATTTTTAAAAATATTTTTTCAACGATTATATTTTCAATAACTACCAAAACGAATAAAAAAGTGGAATTTCTTTTAAATAACCTCTTAAAGAAACTTAAAAATATTTTTTTTTTTTGGTTAAGAATACAAATGTGAATTTAAATATATTAAAGGATATTTTTCCAGGATCACCAAAAGCTTTAAGGATTTTAATAATATTTTTTCATAGACCGACCATCAGAGATAATAAACTCGAAATTTTTACAAGAGCATTAAGGATTTTTTTTTTACGTTATGAAGAATATTTTTTCAAAGACCAATCGAGTCAACTAAAAGAGGAAATTGTAAGATTATTTTTTCATAGTCCATCAAAGACAGAAAATGTGCATATTTTTCAAATAAATTTGTAGGACCATTCGATAAAAAAAAAAAACAAAAATATTTTTGTTCCAATAAGACGTAGAGAAATAAAAGAGTATTGAAACTCTTTTACTTTCAAGTCAAAACAAAGAAAGGTTGGAGTTGCAAAGCGGATGGAATTAAAAAGCGTCTTAATTTTAAATGTAGTTGCCCTTATAACGAACCGTCATGATTTTCGGGATTCAGAATGTTTCAGCCATAATATCAAAGGGAATGAGCTGTTAGTCGACGTTTAG